GTTATCCACATTCTTTGCCCTCTGCTCGGGGGGTCTATCGTATGCATGCGTGTTGGTCATTTTAGGAAGTTAAGGGGGTTTGGGGCAAGGGGTGCTTCGGCAAAAGGGGCTCCAGGCTTTGGAAGGGGGGGTTGCCCTCTCCTCGGGGGGCCTATTGTATGCATGCGTGTTGGTCACCCTGGGCATAAAAAAAAAAGGGAAAAAAAAAAGGGGAGTTGGGGCGAGGGGTGCGCACTCTGGCAAAAGTGGCTCCAGGCTTTGGAAGGGTGTGTGTGTTTGAAAGTCCTCTTCGCCAATTGGCTGGAAATTATACTCTTCGGGACAAAGATAAGGTATGCACCTCTACAGACAATCTGCACTTATACTCTTCGGGACAAAGATAAGGTACGCACCTCTTCCGAGGATCTGCACAACCAAGTGGCCGATTACCAAGGGCGACTGTCATAAGCCTAGCATCCAACCTCTACAACAACCTGGACTTTTTTTTTTGGTTGGGGGGGGAGGGGGGGGGGGAGAAGGCATGGACACACTAGGGGTTAGGGAGGTGAGGGGGGTGGGGGTTATACCATAATAGCCATGAGTATTAGTTTCTTGATTGGGTTCCGGGGAGGATTTGAATTCATGATCTGTTCATGACCGAGTACATGTGTGTACCATTTTTTTTTTCAGCCAAGTGGGCCTAAATGTTAAGGCCCAAAACAGTTGATTGAGGGATTTCTTACCGTCAAAACCCAACCCACCGCTGATGGATGCTAGCCATTTGCGCGCTTTGCTGTGCCAGCCTCCTGCTTGCACTCCTAGTGGATTAGGAAGCGGGTAAGGTTGGAATAATATAGAATTATGTAATTGTGGGTGGGTTGGGTGGATAAGTTGACGCCCAAAAAAAAAAAAAAAAAAAAAAAAAAGGAAGAAGAAGAAGAAGAAGAAGAAGAAGAAGAGAAAAGTTGAGGCCAGGTATGGGGTAAGGTGATATAAGAAGATGGCATTGGGGCAAAAAGAGAAGAGGGGGGAAAAATGGACCAGTCCCTCCGCCGACGAAAACCTCAGTCCCTGTGAGTTAGGGCCGGGTTGTACGTAGGGGCGGCGACTGTTCGTCACCAGCGGGCCCAATCCTGCCATTTTCAAGCGGCAACTTTGCCGATTTTTCCTGCTCAGAAGAATCATTCAAAATGTCTGAGACTTTGAGGGTCCGTAGATTAGGTCGTGATCTTTCAAGGAAAAATATCAGAAAAAAAAAAAAAAAAATCGTTTTGACTGCGAAATATTCGCCGCGCCGATTTGGTGCATTTTCGATTTTTGCCGCAAATTCCATTTTTGAGGCCCACCTGGTTTTCCACTCTGTACTGACGGTACCCGTCGTGAAACGGCGCTTCCGGTACCCCCGAGGTTTCTGACGTCAGGGGGACTGGTGGCTTAACTTGTCCACCCGATGCCTCAAAAGTGTGCGACTTTGCGGAGTCTGATGGCCCGAGGGGTGGGGCAGCAGGAAGCCGACAACTGTTTGCAAATTGTCGACTCCTCCGCTTTTTGGGACTTTTCATGCTCAGGGCCTCGCCACACCACTCTCTAAATGTGGAAAAGACAAAAATGCGGCGGGTGCGTCTGGCCATGTTCTAGCAGGAAGTTCATTCTCATTTTGTACATTTCGAGAGTGGTGTGGCGATGCCCTCAGAATTTTTTCACAACAAAATCTGAAAAACATGAGGACATAGATCCAGTGCTCATGTTTCCAAGAAACATCTTAAACCACTAGTACCTTTGTCGTTTCGGGCTCCGACCTTTTCAGGAGGCCGAAACGAAATGACGGCCATGAGGACATAGATCCAGTGCTCATGTTTCCAAGAAACATCTTAAACCACTAGTACCTTTTCAGGAGGCCGAAACGAAATGACGGCCGCCAATTACATTTAGCTACTGATCTGACAGTACTTCAAACGTAAGAGAACGTAAAAGAAACCGAAAAGTTGGAGCCGGACCATGAGGCTCGTGAAAAGAAAAGGGGACCCCACAGTCTCGCCGAAGAAGGAGGTATATGACGACAGCACCGCCGCTTTTGTGCGGTCGTCCCCGGTTCCTCGAAAAGACTCAGTAGTCCACGAGGTCCAGCGGGAAGGGCTTTGAGTGACCGTCCTCTTGTGTGTGGCTGTTTGAAAGTTGTGCGGCCCGACGTGCACGTCCCCAGATCCGTTTGCCCTACCGTTCCTTATGTCGGGGCCCTCCAGGGATCATTGCCTGTCGCACACACATATGGACCACGGACGTACGGGCTGTTGGATCCGGACATGACAAAAACCGAAGAAAAAAAAAAAAAAAAAAACCTTCCCCATCTTTTGTGCTGCAGAGACGGTTTGCGGCTCTATAGAAAAACGGGACATTTTCTTGCAGAATGGAATCCGCGCGGCGTACCACGATACCCCAACTCTAAAATGGCCTGCGACGGTGCCGGCATCTCCTGTGACCGTGGAAACAAGTCGGATCCCCATAAACTCCAAAAAGTACTTCACCTATTGCACATTTGGTGAGTAGAGGAGCGAGGCCCTTTATCAAGGAACACCAACACAACAACAACAACGACGACGACGACGACGACAACGACAACGACGACAATGACAACAACAGCCACCACCACAACAACAGCGCCGTCGACGACAACGACGACAACGACAACCACCACCACCACCCCAACAACAACGACGGTGGCGACGACGACAACGATGATGACGACGACAACGACGACATCGATGACAACGACGACGACAATGACAGCGACGACGACGATGACAATGACAACAGCAACGACGACAAAAGGAAAGAACTTGAAAGAGGTTACCGACCACAAAAAGGGTGAGGGAACACTATATGACAGATCTTGTGACTTTTTTTTTTTTTTTTACGGATTACACACACCACAGACCGGCATTTAATTCCTCCATTTTCTGAAACAAAGAAAGAAAGAAAAAACAAAAAGAAAAAAATCACCTTCATCAGGCTTCGTGATTGAGTGAACTGCAAAAAATGATAAAAAAAAAAAGAAGATGAATTTTCAACCTGCATTGTGCTCTCTTACACTACCACTGCCCCCCCCGATGCTATTTTTTTTGGCGAGAACTGACACTCCCGTTCTTTTCCGGACCTGGCACACTGAACCAAACAAAAAAAAAAAAAAAAAAAAAAAAGATGCAGCCCTACCGGTTCCAACAGGGAGCAAAAGACACGGCTGGCACCGGGCGTGAGTGTCGGGTATGAAGAAGACTATGAGGCAAGGGATGGGGCTGTGAGCTCCCGGTGGAGCAGGACAACCCAGCTGTCCCTGTTATCGGCGACTGTTGATGTAATCTGCCTTGGCCACTGGGCCCTGTTAATAAAAGTGAAATTTATAGCAAAAAAAACTAAAAAATAAAAGAAGGAAAAGAGACATTTTTTGCCGCCAGAATTGTGTTTGCCTATACACCGCCGTATTTTTTGTCTTTTGTGCATGTGGAGAGTAGTGGAGCGAGTCTTGAAGCCAGCTACCTCAGGAAGGAGTTTCATCTTTGTTTTTCTTTTTTGGGAAAACTAGGGCGCAGTCAAGGTTTTCAGTTTTAAATGCGTTTCAGGGCATACTTACACTACCACGTATTTTGGCAAAATCGCAAATTTTATGTGGTTTTCTGGGTCACACCAGGCACGTATTTTGCGTGTTCACACAAAAGGGCACGTAAATGTCAGCGGCCTGGACAGCCGTGGGCTTACATATTTTGCGGGGACCTCCAGAGGTATTCTTTTTCCTCTACTGCTTTCTGGAGGCAAAGAAAAAATCAATTTGAAGTGCATTGTGCTCTCTGACTGCACACAACGCATTTTCGCATCTCAAGGCCAGGTCACGACCCTGTCCTTTCTGCTTCAGGCAACAAACGGGTGAGCAGTTTGACCCGCAGGTGCCATATAAACGCAAATTCACATACGTAATATCTGCAGAAGTACGTGCTAGTGTGAGTATGCCTGAGTATGCCCTCAGTCAGGGTTTCGCGAATTTTGCTCCAAAGAAAGGCGTGAATGTATCCTACCCAGCTTTAGGGTTGGGTGGGGATGTGTTGTATTCGAGGGATGCCTGAAGTGGATTTAGAACTGAAAACGTGACTGCGCTGTAGTTACCCCTTCTTTTTTTTTTCTTTTTTTTTTGTGATGGGCAATCTTTTTTTTCCTTTTTTTTTTTTTTTTTTAAGCTGCCTTCTCCTCAACCTTTCGTTGAAAATTGTTCATGTTTCGTAACATAGGGCCGCACTCCACTACTTATCAAATGTGCCAAAATGCGAATGAATTTTCCTCTAGAACATGGACAGATACACCGCCATTTTTTTTTTTAATTATTATCCTTTTAAAGTTTAAACCACTATTACCCCCGCTGGCTGGGAAAATAGGGAGGCGTCAGGTGGGCCTCCAATCTTTTAGGAGGCCGAAACAAAACGACGGCCATCGATGAGATTTATCAATGGGGGGGGAAAACTGCCGGAACTGCCAGTTTTCCTTAGTTTCCCAACACTGGCAGAGGATACTACCACTACATTTTCCCAACACTGGCAGAGGATACTACCACTACATCTCCACACTTTATTAACTTGGCCCATTCCAGGACCAGGTTCATTGAACTTCATTATTTTAACAACATAACTAGGTTACTTTTTTTAAGGTTTTTTTCTTGATTTTTTTTTTTTTTTTTTTTTTTTTGGGTGAAGGGTGATGGCCTTGGTATATAGTCACTGACACCAACCGTGCCTAGATAATTTAGAAATCATGTTATTCTGTTTTCATGCATCTGGATTTGAACTCAGGTCTGCATTTCAACTGTCTGGTGGGGTTACCTACTGAGCTACGCCCGTCGGGCACCGCCAAATTGTTTTTGTTTTTTATTGCATGTGGTGAGTAGTGGAGCAAGTCTCATAAATCTTCTTCTCATGGATATGATCGGACGTGTCCGTCGTGCTTTGTCTTCTTCTTTTTTTTTTTGTGTGTGTGTGCAGGCGAAAAGTACGCAGTGCAATGAAGCGATGCGGGTACCGGTTGAAAGGCATGCCGGAGTTTTCTTACACGCCCAGTGAAAATAGAGTATACCCTATTTTTGAGAAGCATTTCGCATTTCCAATACCCTTCTTTGAGTCCAGAGAGGACAGCGGCGGCGATTCCGGCGCCGGCACGGCGATTCTATAATCCAGAATATTGCACACAATATGGGACAAGTGCGTATGCCTTTGTTGGGACTTGGGGGGGTCCCAACACTGCCTACTTTGTTCTTGAGACTCGGGTATCCCAACATGGGCCCCATGGTTGGGACTTGGGGGTGTCCGAACACTGGCTTCTTTGGTGGAAAACTTGGGGGTGCCCGGACACTGCATACTTCGTTCTTGGGACTTGGGGGTGTCCCAACACTGGTTTCTTTGTCCGGACTTGGGGGTGTCCCAACACCGGCTCTGTTGTTGTTGGGACTCAAGTATCGCGACATGGGGTCATCATTGGGACTTGAGTACCCCAACACGGGATCCATTGTTCGGACTTGGGGATAATCTTAACATGGCCTCCTTCGTTGGGACTCGGGCGTTTCTCATCACACGCTGGCTCCTTCATTGGGACTGGGGTGTCCCAATGCTGGATCCTTTGTTGGGACTTGGGTATCCAACACTCAACGTTAGCGTAGTCAGTCCTGTACTTTGCTCTGGAGTTATAGCTGCACCCCCGTAGCTTGAGCTAAGCTTCAGCATTGGAACTGAAGCTGCACTTCCGATCGGGACCGCTGCACTCCGGATTGGGACTGCTGCCGGTTTCGAAGCGAGGTTGTGCATTGGAATCGGAGGTTCGCTTGCTCCACCAGAATTGGAGTGGTCCTTTTTTTTTTCGGGGGCGGGGGAGAGGGGGGGAAGAGGAGGAAGGGGGGAAAGGAGAGAATTAGGGGTCCTTCAGTAGGTGGTACAAGTTTATATGAGAATTTCTGAACGTATAAATACCGATCTGCACCGTGGCAGATGGGTTTCCTTTTTTGGGTGGGTGTCATTCATTTGTTGTGGGTTTCCTTTCCATTTTGCAAACATGGGCCCAGATGGGCCAGACTGGTACTGCCTGAGCTCAGATGGGCCAGATTGGTACCACTTGGGCGCAGATGGGCCAGATCGGTACAACCTGGGCCCAGATGGGCCAGATCGGTACCACCTGGGCACAGATGCCTGGACTGGCCAAGATCGGCACCACCTGGGCCCAGATGTGGAACGACGTGGGCCAGATTGGTACTACCTGAGCCCAGATGGGCCAGATTGGGACCACCTGGGCCCAGATTGGCCGGACTGGCCGGATTGGTGCCACCTGGGCACGGATGGGTCAAACTGACTAGATTGGTACCATCTGGGCCCAGATGGGCCAGATTGGTACCACCTGTGCCAGATTGGTGCCACTTGGGCCCAGATGGGCCAGATTGGTACCGCCTGAGTCCAGATGGGCCAGCTTGATATCACCTGGGTCCAGATGGGCCAGACTGGCCGGATTGGTACCACCTCGGCCCTACTGGGCCAGGTTGGTACCGCCGGGCCCAGCTGGGCCAGATAGGTAACTGCCTGGTCTCCTGGGCCCGGATGGAACAGAATGGTACCACTGGGACCCAGATGGGCCACAAACAGCCTGGTGGCCTGTGCACTCTATAGGATGTTTTTTATTTTTTCCACTTTCTTTTTTTTTTCCATAAAACTTTTATCAAGGCCCATCTGGGCCCAGGTGGTACCAATGGCGTATGGCCTGGATGGGATCCCATCATGAGTTGCTCACACAGGTTGATTGTGTCGAGATGGGATATGCGTGGATGG